GCAAGCAATCAGAGGGAGATGGGGGGTCCCCTGCCCAGGCATGATTCCTGGGCCAGAGGCATCAGGCCTGGGCGGGGGGTCAGAGCCAGTGATGGGGGGAGAGGGGAGTCCCCTGCCAAGGCCTGACGCCTGGGCCAGAAGCGTCAGGCCTGGGCAAGGGCCAATTCTGCGATGGGAGATTGATGGGGGTCAATGCCTGAGGGCACCCAGTATGTGAGAGGGGGCAGGCTGGGCTGAGGGACACTCCCCCTCACCCCCACCCAGTGCACGAATTTCGTGCACCAGGCCCCTAGTATATAGATAATGCAAGTTTAGCAGTTAGAATAAATAGACCCAATCCTACACTGGAAAGGTGTATGGGAACAGGTGTCCAAAGTGAGAGGAAACCCCAAGACTCCAAAAATGACTTAGTCATCACCTAATCTAGCTGCTGTCTAGAACTAATGTGATTAATGAGGAAGCCTGTGTACCCATAAATACTAAAGCATATCATAAAAGCATTTATTTGTAATTAATTTATTTTAATCTTCAGAAGAAAACTTCCTTGTTTACATTTCATTTTTATCCATTAAAAAGAAAGGTAGGTTTCTACCAGCTGTGTTGCTCTGCAAAGAGCCAATTACCGAGATAAGAAATTTCCACAAACTATTCTATTAATACCTGATTAATAATTGCTATTTTATTTGGTCATTTTTGTTATTTCCTTAAAGGAGAAATATATATATTTGTGAATAAATAATTCATAGTTCTCTTGTATTCTTAAAGGCTGGACATAACATTTTGAAAATCACAAACCAGTATAGGCAAGCAACCTCAAATCCTTTTGGAATGGTATTAATATATTATTTTAATTAAGCTAAAACCAATGTATAGCTCTAAAATAAATATGTCATTGAGTGCAATAGACTTATCACAGCAACAGACTGAATGTTGGTCACTATCCATAACAATAATTAGAAAAGTAATTAACTGTGGTTCTGACTTTTTATTATTCTAAACATTAATTTCTGCACCCTTTTAATTAAGCTCCTATTTTCATTACAGTGATTAATACCTAATAGTAAATATTGTTGTATTTGAATCTTTTATTTTATTTTTAATTTCTCATGTGTTATAGGCATCTAAGAACATGTTTTTCCTGTGGTCAGCATTTGTGGCCTATTAAGTTTATCGTTTACAATAGAACTTTAAAAGGACTTTTACTCATGATTTTGGTAACTGGTGTCAACTACTACAAAAATTAACCCCTGTTTGTGTTTAGCTGTGTAGCTTTTCTCTTCCCAGTGTCTTTCCTGACTCTGTTGTGCATCTCTGTATTCTCAGCTCCTAACATAATGATTCGTACAAACAGGAAATTAATAGGTTTGTTTATGCTCACATTATATATACTAAATTACACTGATCATTAAAGCTATTTGATAACAAATGGAATTATTTTAAGCTGTCATAAATTATTCATTTGTTTTTATGTAACTGAATACTGAATAGGTATTTGTTGACTATATATGGTTATTAAGTTAGGAATAAACAATTATAGTACCTAACATCTCAAAAATAAAATATTTGGCTGTGTTATACAGGGCAATATTTGATCTTCCCCAAACCAACCATTTTCAGCTATCACAGAAATAAGACTCATTTAGTAATAAAGTTACATAATTCAGAATGAAATTGTAGTTCCATTTGGAAAATTAGAATAGATGTTATGTAACATTCTCCTTCCATCTCTGATGTTCCCTGATCCATTTTGGTTCATATTGAAAATGTATACTTATATACAGATTCAAACTGAGAAACAAATTGTCTTTTTGTCTAAACAGATGGGATTCATTGTCCAAATAGTCTGTCGTTGTTTTAATTTTTGGTTATGTCTCTCCTCTTCCTTCTCATTGCTTGGTAAACAGTGAGACAGCCTATTTAATTGCTCTTACTTAGACCAGTTCATGTTATTATTTACAAGTAGTTTATACAACTTACTCTAAATACGAATTATCCCAGGGGCAACGGTAATAACAAGTAAAAAATTTGTCTTTTATAGTTCTCCTCCTGTTCAGTCCTTCAAGCTCTTCCTCATTTATGGATACTTTATTCAACATGGGTCTGCTCCTGATTTAGGAGCTTGATTGGAAGTATTGAGAGAAGACTAGGTTCTCCACAACATACTTATCACTTGACTGCCAGCAGCTTCCCGTGTTCCTGGCAGAGTAACCTGATCTCCATCTAGTGGCCAAAAGGACTTACTTTACATTATAGAAATTAAAGGGTCAGGTTTGTTCTCCAGTAGTTTGGGGCAGCGCAGGCTGGTGTGGGAGGTTTACACACCCCTGCTTGGGTGGTTCCTGTTAGTCCTGCGGTGCTCTTTAGGTCAGCAGCGAAGGCCAGGCAAATAACCTCCCGTGCCATTCACCCCTATTGACCCCCAT